GTTGGAGGGTGTCCAGTTGCACTGATGCTTTCCATCTATAAAGATGGGCATCAGTATCCACATTTTAGGGAGATTACAAATCATACAATCATATTAAAGCTTCCACCATACAATCATACATAGAAGTATTACATATTACACTTCCACATATTGAACAAAATCAGATATTCAGATAGTCACAGAGAACTGAGAGAACTGAGACCACATAAATTACATAATAAACAATTAAACATACAAAGATATCCAGAATCAGGCACATGGACATAGTAGTTTGTGTAATTATGTCATCATTTTTCCAGATTTAACAACTACCAATTAAGGGTCACACATCCATAAACTGATAGACATAATAACATATACAATTATACAAACAAATCCAGATTCAGGAACTCAGTCCAGATCATCATTATCTGGATTTGAGTTAAGGGCTTCCACCAATAAATGGAAATTCCCACACTGGAGATTTCACATTTTAGCCTTTAACTCGGGTTGTTAGATTACAAATTTGCATGACATAAAATCCCGATTTCACAAAATCAACACTTAGAAATCAGTTTGTAAAAGGCTTCCACCAACAAATAGCATAATATATGAATATATCACCAAATATTCAACACATACTCATTGTAAATGAAGATATATAAATTATAAAACTAGGGTTTACGATTTACTTGATTTCTCCCAAATAATCCCGGGAGAACAAGGGCTTCTAATCACCAGTTCACCAGTAATCACCACGGCTTCCACCACTTAGACTCTCAGAGACAGAGAGTAAGAGATTAGAGATTAGAGATTGCAACGCTTCGATTCTGAGAACCCTGAGATTAGACAATAGAGATTAAGAGATTACAGATTACAGAGTAAGACTGTAAGAGATTAGAGCTTAGAGAAATAGAGATTAAGAGATTAGAGATTTACCTTACGGATTTACAGAATCAGAGATGACTGATGCGTGCTGAGTCTTGAGTTCTTGACTCTTGAGAGAACTGAGACTCTGAGAGACTGAGAGTCTGAGAGAGTGAGACTCTGAGACTCTGAGAGAGTTGAGTCTAAGAGAGTGACTGAGTGAGAGTCTGAGACTCTGAGAGAGTGAGAGACTGAGAGAGTGAGAGAGACAGAGAGTTGAGAGTCGAGAGAATGAGAGATGCGATCTCAGTTCTCAGATCTCAAATCCTAGGTCAGCTGCGCGGATGAGAAAATGAAGACCAAATGGTGGAAGGCATGTATATATACATTGATGGAACGACGCCGTATTATACAAGGCCTTAGGGAACCCTAGGATAGTTCGGGTGGTCGGACGGGTCGGTTGGCAAAAATGTACACCCCATCCGAACCTTCTAAACCGACGCCGTATTGAATGGCGGATCGGGTAAGGAGATTCGGGTACGGGTATCCACTCCGATAGCCAAGTAGTGGGGCGGGTCGGACGGGTTGTTCGGGTTGGACGGGTTTTGCACAGCCCTAATTCCCTCCCACCGAACAATGTAATTGTAACCTTCACTGAATTACAACTCAATTACAACCAACCAAACGCCTTGTAAGTCTTATGTGATGTTTGGTTGGGAGGAATGAATTAGGAAGGAAATGAATTGCAATTTGGTGGTAAAAGAATAAGGTATGAATTCAAATTACATTGTTGGGTAAGAAGGAATATAATTATTTGGAATGAGGAGGAAAAATTGGTATAAAGACTAAAATGTCCCTTTGTAATAATAATAACTTTCAACAATGACATTTATGTCATTTTTGTTGTAAAATCTTATGTGGACATTATTCTGATTTTATATTGATGATAGGATTCTTTAGGAGTCCTAATACTGTAACAATCCTAAAGGTTATTATGATAGAGATTATATATATCATTGTAATGATGTACAAAGATGGTTGATGATAATAAGAAATACTCTTCTCTGTCTATTCTCTCTTCTGTCTTGCGTTGATATTTTGTTTAACACGTTATCCGCACTTTGCTCTATCTCATCCCACGAATCGCTCCATGTCCAATATCATCTCCATCTAAAATATTCGCAAGTTTCAGTACCGAAGCCATGAAGGATGTTTTGATCTGCAACCATGGAGTATTCATACTCCAGGATCAGAGTTGGAAGAGAATTTTTGCAAGAAAATTTCTCTGGCGAACCATGGCAGATGTCATAGCACCACCGGTAGTGCCGCAAAACAGTCTTCTCCGCCGCAACTCCATCTTCGTTTCTGTCGTCGCTACGACACAGCTCAGCCTCCACCACATCCGTGTGGTTGCTTCTTCTTCCTCCTCCTCGTATGCCACGACAAACTAGGTTTCGGAGCTTCAGATGATGACAAACTGCGGAACCTTGGAGGAAGAGGGACTCGAACTTGCCATACAAAAGATAAGTACTCTATATCTTTGGTACTTAAATAGACCATACATATATGTGCATATATTCTGCCATAGAACCACACATTGATATTTATGTTCACAAATATATTTTATAAAGCATGAGAATATGTACACATATGATTATGTGACAATTTATCAGTAATATGTATGGGCATGGATTTTTTTTTTTTCTTGGGCTTTGATTTTCTGGAAAAACATATTTGGTTCTCTCAATGACAATATTGTGAATGGCTTCTTTTCAATTGACATTGTTTTCACCTTCTTTGTGGCATACATGGATAAAACTACGTGGTTTCTTGTTGATGACATGTTGTTGTTTGAAGAGTTAGTGCTCTATTTCACATAAGTTGTTGGTTCACTTGGTTTTAACTCAATTGACATCTAAGCTATTTGTTGTTTTTTTTTTTCCTTAAAATTCTGATCGGCGCAATTTGAAAAATAAATTCGTGAAAAATACTTGTTGAACTCCTTTTGGCATGAAATTTTGTCGGGAGAACCTAGACTTGTGGTATTTGATGTATGTATAAAGATTTTGTTAACAATATGCTTTGGTTGTTCCAGAAAGTTGGCAGTGTGCTACCAGTTATTTTTTTGCCTGGCGCAGTGTTGGAAAAAATACTTCTAGACCTTGGATTGACTTGAAACTTTTTGTGTATAATCTAGACTTGAGGTACTTCTTATTTGGTAAATTTTGTGTCAAAATGGGTTACCGTTTTTCCCAGAAAATCCTGCAATCTAGATCAAAATTCTAAAAATTTTCTGCCGATTTCAGCTTGTATATCTTGCTATTTTGTGTTGTTTGGATGTTTGTATGAAACTATGAGATAAAATGAGAGCTTGCTTGGAAAAGAGCTGTTTTTTACTCTCCGAAATAGGAATGAATGGGCCCGGCATCGAACATGTGCTCGTAATTCTTCCAACGAACGATACTTCTCTCATTTTATTTTCTAATTTATGAATTACTAGAATGTCTCTTGTCATGTCATGTCTTGTGTGTACCAAATATAATACTCTTTATTTAAAATGGATGTGCATGAATCAATTGAGATTTTAGTGTCCAAGACATAAGGGACAATTATTTCACATATTGAATATGCTTCTCCTTATTTGAAAAAATTAAGCATATAATCTCTTGATTAGCCTCATATAAGAGAATTTGTTGTCTCTCTTGTTGGCAGTTAATTATTTGCTACACTGCAGGTGCCTCGAAAGCCTTTTAATTTTTTAATATGTGCGACTCCTAAGCACTAGTTGGAGTCGCGGAAAACTTTTCTATTTTTTTTTTTTTAATAATTGTATCCGTGGCACCCTATGGTTTTCTCAAACTATAGGTTGCCTAATAATCTCTTGAAGTAGATAAGGAATCGTTTAGACTCGGTAAGGATACCTTAACAGTTCTTTACTTCATTTGTCGTTGTAGCACCTTTTAGAACCAGAAGTTCCATAATTGCAACAGACATGATATTTGCGATAAAATTGCTAGCAACATATAGGGCTTCTTCTACAATGAAATATTGAAATAATGTTTAATATATATTCCGAGTTACAAAAGAGTTTGGCATTTATATGAGAAACAAATGTATGGTTTTGATAGACTGTTTGGATATGGGCTATTATATATTTGATCCCTGTGATGCCAAAATTCCAAACTGGTTAAACAATGAATTACCCTCAATATCCCAAATGAGGACAATAACACTTGAGTTGCACAAATGATATATGAGTATGTTAAAGAATATTTGACAAAGCATATATAGTGTCAAAATTCAACCAATACGAGCTCTAAAAGAGTCACAAAATTATTGTGCAAGATATTCACCCTAGTGATAGTCCAGAAGATTTGACTAATCCATTTCTACAATTTTGGATATATATTTTATGTGTGGGTTTGAAAATTGTCTTCTTGAGGAGGAGTATCATTTTACAATCCTGAAGATTGGGTCTTGAAGACTAACAGTTGTACTATTTTCCTTTTTGAAGATTAACAACTGTACTCTTTTTCTTAGTTAAGTTTTTTCCCACGGGATTTTTCCTTAAACATAACGTTTTTAATGATGCAGCTAATCTAAAACAAGAATACACATACATCATGCACTCTTTTCCTCAACTAGTTTTTACCCACTGGATTTTCTAGTGAGATTTTTAATGAGGCATTAGTATGATATAGTAATTTAAATGGGAAAAAGTTGCAAAATAATTGCTTAAGTAGACAACCCCAAAATCCTGAAGATTATGGATTATGACTTGAAGGCGTATGGTTGTACTTTTTTTCCCTTAACTAAGTTTTTTTCCCACTGGATTTTCTTAGTGTAAGGTTTTTAATGAGACAACTAATGTAACACATGGTTTGCCTACATATCATGTACTCTTTTTTCGACTAGGTTTTTTTCCATAGGGTTTTTCTAGCGAGTTTTTAATGAGGCATGATTATGGCAAAATAATGTCCAAGGGGAGTGTTGTAAAACCTTATGTGGACTTTATTCTGGTTTTATATTAATGATAAGATTCTTAATACTGTAGAAGTCCTAAAGGCTATTATGATAGAGATTATATATACCATTGTAATGATGTACAGAGATTGTGATGATAATAAGAAATATATTCTCTCTTCCTGTCTTGC